TATTTTGAAAGGAATTGTGTAGGTGCATCGGATGGTTGCCCCAAATGTTAGTGCTAAAAATCGGAGATATGGTGGACATGGTGAGCTAAATGTGGATTTTGGGTAGTTTTGAGGTAGTAGAGCCCATTAAAATGCTTGCCTAAGCTAATCATCCTCCTCATGTTCACGTTCTACATAAATACAAAATTTATCAAAGAAAATCACAATAAACTTTAATACTTGTGTCAATTTGCTCACAAATAATAAGTTTATATTGAATTATGGTACATAAAGAACACATCAAGAGTTAAGGCTTCAGAAAATTTAATGGACCCAATATTTTCAATTGTTGTTTTTCCTCCATTGGGTAAACCAACAAAATTATGTTAAGTATTGATCATCTTGTGTGTAGGTCAAAACATGTAATATAATATGAGGCTCCACTATCCATTATCCAATATATATTTGAATGTGGGTCATGTTGTGAAGGATTAAAGGTAGATGTAATGATATATGTTGCATTTGCAAGTGGAAAATCACTAGATCAGTTGTGCAAAAAGGCGATCAATTAATTGTATTCTTTGGTGGTGAAAGTTGGACTTTTGTTGGATTTGTTATCATGTACCAGAATAGTATCCTTTTCAAGAGTATAGGTAGTAGGCCTTTTATTTTTCAGCTTGACATTTTTCACATGTAACTTGTGGCCCAAGGGAAAACCATTAAGATAATAGCAATTATTAACCATGTGAATTGTCATCCCTATAGCCAGCACTAACGGATTTCGTTGCCAATGAGTTGCTAGATCTTGTGCTGCCCTTGGTGTAGTGACAGGTTTACATAGCATGGGATCCAATCTATTGATTTGTCATATCCATCTACTGCTCGTGTTGGAGGATCAAGCCATGAATATGGCATGTGTCAGGGATAGACGACATCATCAAAATTGACCCACACACAATTGAATAAGGTTCATTAAGACCTATTAAAAGTTGTATAACTCTCTTTTTTTTTTTTTTCTCTTGAGGCATGTTTTTTAGAACCCTTACATATACAGATAATGGGGCATGATAGGAATCTAACTCATCCTATAGGGCCTTGAGTTTAGTGTAATATTCTCAAATTGTAAGTTGTCCTTATCAATGTTCGACGATTCCTTGGTGGATTTGGTAAATTTTAGAGTCATTGTTTTGCAAGAACCGATATTTAAGATCATTCTGCATTATAGGCGCGCTAATATAGTAAAGCACTCTGCTTGCAATATCAGGATTTAGTGATTGCAGAATCTATGATAACACAATGTCGTTGCATCTTTGCCAAATAGCAAATTTGGCATTGATGCTTTCTGAAAGTTTGATGGTTTCATTAATGAATCCTAGTTTGTTTTTGGCACTCAAAGCAATACGCATCGATCAACTTCGTTGATCGTAATTATATCTTTCAAGAGGCTTTGAAAGAAAAACAAGTCTGGTGAGACATATTGTCACTCATTTTGGTGATTTGTGTTGGTTGATTGTTTATGGTGACGGAAAGTATATGGATAAAGTTACCAATATTGGAGTTATGATACCATACAAAAATATAAAATTTTATAGTTTTTTGTTTGAATTACAAAATGCTATAATGTACAAGTCTTATTCAAATTACAAATTTTATTAGGGCGAGCTGGAAATCTATTCTAAGCAAGTGAATTATAATAAGTGTAATGGACTCAATCTAAGCTAATTATAATAGGAAATCTCATCATCTTCTTCTTCTTCTCTTTCTTTATTATTACTACTACTACTACTACTATTATTATTATTATTATTATTATTATTATTATTATTATTCTTGTTGTTGTTGTTATTGTTGTTTTATAATTGTTGTTTATAATTTGTACAATTAACCTCCCTGTGGTTCGACCCCGGTCTTGCCGGGTTATTTATTACTTCGACACTCCTGCACTTGGGAGAAGACATTAATCTTTTCGTCGTGTCAATTGTCATCCCTATAGCCAGCACTAAGGGATTTCGTTGCCAATAAGTTGCTAAATCTTGTGCTGCCCTTGGTGTAGTGACAGGTTTACATAGCATGGGATCCAATCTATTGATTTGTCATATCCATCTACTGCTCGTGTTGGAGGATCAAGCCATGAATATGGCATGTGTCAGGGATAGACGACATCATCAAAATTGACCCACACACAATTGAATAAGGTTCATTAAGACCCATTAAAAGTTGTATAACTCTCTCTTTTTTCTCTCTTGAGGCATGTTTTTTGGAACCCTTACATATGCAGATAATGAGGCATGATAGGAATCTAACTCATCCTATAGGGCCTTGAGTTTAGTGTAATATTCTAAAATTATAAGGTGTCCTTATCAATGTCCGACGATTCCTTGGTGGATTTGGTAAATTTTGGAGTCATTGCTTTGTAAGAACCGATATTTAAGATCATTCTACATTATGGGCACGCTGATATAGTAAAGCACTCTGCTTGCAATATTAGGATTTAGTGATTGCAGAATCCATGATAACACAATGTCGTTGCATCTTTGCCAAATAGCAAATTTGGCATTGATGCTTTCTGAAAGTTTGATGGTTTCATTAATGAATCCTAGTTTGTTTTTGGCACTCAAAGCAATACGTATCGATCAACTCCATTGATCGTAATTATATCCTTCAAGAGGCTTTGAAAGAAAAACAAGTCTGGTGAGTGGGTCAGACATATTGTCACTCATTTTGGTGATTTGTGTTGGTTGATTGTTTATGGTGACGGAAAGTATATGGACAGAGTTACCAATATTGGAGTTCTGATACCATACAAGAATATAAAATTCTATAGTTTTTTATTTGAATTACAAAAAGCTATAATGTACAAGTTTTATACAAATTATAAATTTTATTTGGGGCGAGCTGAAAATCTATTTTAAGCAAGTCAATCACAATAAATGTAATGAACTCAATCTAAGCTAATTATAATAGGAAATATATGAATTACAATTATTATTTAATATTTTTTCTTTAATAAGAAAATATATTAAAACAATATTTTTTATTTTTAAAAAATATTTTTTATATCACTATATTAAAACAAGATAAAATACAAAAATATTTTTAAAATACAAAAATAAACCGCTATATAACTAAAATTTGTATAATATGAAAGAAGCCTCCCTTGGATCACGTGTAGTTCTCAATCCTGATGTCTTCGTCAACGAAGTCCAGCTACTAAATACAAAAATAAAAAAATATTGATCCCTTCTTGACGAAGTCCGCGTGTCGTTATGGGTGGCCGACAAAAGCCACTAAGATATCTAGACCTTTGATCTTGATAGGCCTTAAAATGATGAGATGGACCTACAACATGGCAGCCATGGACGATGCAAAGAGGTGGAGGAGGAGGAGGAGGTCTCTTTCAGGGAGGCGTTTTTGGTCGTTGTTCTCTCACCAAGTCAGAATGATAGACAGTGATTTGTACGTGCCATTTTAGTAAGAGGTTCCTTTCACACGACAACTTCAGCTTCGTCTTCGAATCAACATCACAGGCTAACGACCCGCGCTGACGTGTAGAATTTGCAGCTTCTTGGTTCGAAACACCCAGGAAAGTCCCGGTGAAAGAGAGATGACAACAAATTAATTAAAGGTAAAATTCTCTTACATTTACAAAATAACTTCGCACGCCCACGCGCACACTCCATTCGTGCAGCTCAAAAGAATTGTGTCGGTACTATTTTATTTTTTTATCAAGTTGGATTCCCAATTTGTTTTTTCAATTTTTTAACCTTTTTGAATCTCAAGAGTTAATAATTAAAATTTTAAATTTTTTTAAAAATAAATTTATATTTTCTTAATATTTTTTTATTATAAAAAATAAAAATTTCATAATTTAATATTAAATTTATTTTAAATTAGCTCTGCATAATGTAGGTAATTTATGAAAATGATCTTTTAAAATCACAAAATATTAGAATAATTATTTTTAATTTGATTAGATTTTTATTTTTAAAATAATTAAATTATTTTTTTAATTATTCTTTTAAATGTTATAACACGTTTTTTTTATTATTTAATTTTTTTTTAATTTTTTCAATTTAATCAATTTATAATTTTTTTCTTACCCCTAACAAAAATTAATGGCAGAAAGGCAGATTACGGCAAGTAGATGGAATGGTCAAATTACGCGGAGCTTGACGCGCACACGTTTTCTTTTTTTCCTCCATTCGCACGACCTTCACTGCTGATGTGGATTTATTCATTCTTTTTTTTTTTTCTTCTACACTTTAAGATTGCCTAGATACGATTAATGTTCTAATTCTTTAAGGATTTAGTGTTAATAAAAGAAAAACTGAGACTTTCTATTTAAATATAAAATATCTCTATTTAGAAAGTACATCTTAGTTTTCTTTATAAGTTTTTCACTTACTTTTGAAATAAAAAAAACTAAAAAGTATAATAAACCTAAAAAAATCTTAAAAATTATTCAATTTATAAAAATAATCTAGATGACATCTAATAATAGATTGTTAATTAGATTTTTTTTATTAGTTTCAGTTAAATATCACATTGAATGCACTTGAGTTTTGATATTTTATTAAAAATTTATAAATTTACTAAATTTTTTTTAATAATATAACAAAATAGTCTATTTTTTTTAGATTAACGTGGGTGTCCGGGCCAGCTTGCGCGCTATTTGATATGATTGCAACGATGTGTTTTTTTATTTAAAAAATTATAAAAAATATAATTTTAATATATATTTTTTATTGAAAAACACCAGGTACAACAGGGGCATTATATAAAGAAATTAACTAATTAATAGTTTCGTTAATTTAAATATATAAAATGAAAATCTTATTGAGAGTTTATTGATACCACGGAGATCTAATTGAATTGTCCCGGAAGATTGGGAACTATTATGAGGTCAACCCCTTGTTATTATCTATAAATGAGTGAATAAGGCAGTGCTGCACTACCAACACCAGCTCTCAAGTTGTGAGAATCTATCTTAGATAATGCTAGGATCTCGCATACCTATCAAAATGCCAAAAAAGGTATTCATAAAGACACTATCAAAGACTGACATTGACTATAGAATGACAATTCCAATGGATAGCCTCTCCGCTTTCCAAATCCCAGAAGGAAAATACTCGAGAGCAGTTGTTGCCTTCGACATCACTGGTCGTCCATGGAGTTTCCGGTGTTCCACGAGAAAAAAAGATCCCCGCCCCAAACCAGTCCTCTCTTCAGGCTGGATTAGGTTTGTCAAAGACAGGTGTCTCAAGGAAGGCGATGAAGTCATCTTTTCTGTCGCGCACAATGATGGAGCTGAGGGTCCGCAATTCAGAATTGAAGCGCGGAAAAAACTGGCCAAGTTATTCGGTCAAGATATTTGGAGCAATCCTCTTTGAAGAAGAAGAAGCTACGTACTGATCCAGGCATGTAAAACATGGGTGTATCTTCCATCTTGATTCTAGTATCAACTGGTGTTTCTGAGGTTAGTGTTCCTACGCTGTAGTCTTGTTCCTGCTCTCTCTTTTCTCTCGGAGGGGAGGGTTGTGGCCGGCCGGGGATCTCAGAGGAGTTTGATATCCTAGCTGTACATGTATTCAAGGTCGTTTCTGCATATTTCCTCTTTGTATGGCACTAGCTATGATCCTGAATATGTCTTGGCTAGATCTTGTAATCATGGAAGTGAAAGAGTGAACGCTCGAAAGCTCACCATGCCCATGGTTTTGGCCTGTAATTAAGCGAAACGTTTCAGACTTTTTCTTGGATTGCAAATTAATCTTATTTTTCTTCATTAGTTCCATAAATTAATTACCACTCCCCATCGGTTGTTTATTTCCATGGGCTCCATGAGATTAATTATCTCCACAAATGATGAAAAACACCTCATAAATCACATACATGGATTTAAGTCAATTAAATAAATTGTTTTTTAATCAAATAAAAAGTTCTGAAATTGTGGATGTTTCCAAAACAGTGGCCGTATCATATGGCCAAAAATTCAAACTCCCCTTGCAATTAATTAATAATTCCTAGTAAATTCTCTAATTTTCCAATATTATAGATTAAATATCAACTGTGTGCGCGCGATCCTTCAAACACGAGTAAGATTAAAAGTCTTAAACAAATCCTTATTGATAATGTTTTTGATTTAATGACTAATATATTATGATGAATTAAATTCATCTCTTGCCTACCTTAATTATGTTTTCATTTTTATTCTTTCTTAATTATTTATCTACAAGTTTTATATTATCTTGATTTTTATTTAATAAAAGAAGTTTTATTCTATATTATATAAATTCTTTAATTTAGAGATATTTAAAATTATTATAACGATTGTTTTTCAAAATATTTTTTACTTAAAGATATATTAAAAAAATTTAATTTATTTTTTATATTAGCATATAAAAAATACACGCTAAAAAAAGTCTAATTTAAAACAAAAAAATATTAAATTTTCATTAAAAGTAAGTACACATCTCCAAATAAACAGTTACTTGGCACAGACACCCAGCATGAGAGAGGTTTGTCAAGTAGTTCCATTTATTATTTCTTAGCATTTTTCTTTCAATACAACATACCATAACAATGCTCAAAGTCAAACGAATTGAAGGTAACTATGTTTATATATGTTATCAAAGAAAAATTTGAAGATAACTATGTTTATGTTATCATAGTAATTAAACTCATCTTATAGAGCCTTAAGTTTAGTATAATATACTAAAATCATAAGATATCCTTGTCGATGCTCGTTGATTAATTTCTTGGTAGATTTAGAAAATTCTAAAGTGATTGCTTTGTGAGAACCGGTCCTTAAAATAATTTCACACCATGGATGCATTGGTGCAATAAAGCGCACTACTTGTGATATCGTGATTTAGTAATTGCAAAATCCATGATAACACTATATTGTTGCATTTCTGTCAAATTACAAATTTGGTATCGATGCTTGCCTGAGATTTAATGGTTTCATTGACTGTAATTATGTCCTTCAAGAAGCTCGGAAACAAGAACAAGTTCAGGTGAGTCTGAATGATATATGGTGAGTGGGTTGGATATGTTATCACCCATGTTAGTAATCTATGCTGGTTAATTGTTCGTGGTGGTAGAAAATGTGTGGGCAAAGTCATCAATATTAAAGCTATGTATCATGCAAGAATATGAAATTTTGTAGTTTTTGTGTGTATTACAAAGACACTGTAATATACAAGCTTTATACATATTGTAAACTCTATTCTAGGTGAGCAGGAAATCTATTCTAATTAAGTTAATCATAATAGTTGTGATTGACTAGTCTTAACTAATTACAATAGAAAATATATGAATTATGGTAGCTCTTTAATATTTTTTTAAATAAAAAATATATTAAAATAATATTTTTTTATTTTTAATACCTGCATATCAAAATAAAATAAAAATATTTTTAAAATATAAAAAAAATCGGCTATAATACTAAAATTTGTGTAATCTGGAAGAAGTCTCCGTCGGATAACGTGTAGCTCCCAATCCTGAAGTCTCCGTCAACGAAGTCTAGCTACAAAAATAAAAAATATTGATCCTTCTTGACGAAGACTCCGTTGCTTTTTCCCGGGACTCGCGCTGTGATATCGGATTCCTTTCAAGCGACAACTTGGTCAATAAAGGGCGCAGGTAACACCCAGGAAAGTCCTGGGGAAAGAGAGATGACATCAAATTAATTAAAGGTAAAATCCTCTTATATATATATATATATATATATAAAGAGCTTTGGAGAGATAAGATTAGAGCCAGTTTGAAAAGGCGTTGTTTTAAAGCTAAAGGTCGCAGTAGCCTCTTCTTTCCACTTAAATTCATCTTTCTTAAGTAACTTGGTTGAGGGTTTACATATGAAACCATAGCCCTTAACAAATTTTTTATAATAACAGTTAACCCTAAGAACCCTGAGTTGTTTGTTGATGCTAGGAATTGGCCAATTAACTAATATGTCTTGAGTACTCAACTGAATACAGAAATGCACTTACTATTTTTAACAACCAGTCTATGCGATCTCAGGAATTTAAAAGCAATCTGCAGGTGTCTTAAGTCGTCTGTGAAAGTTTGGCTATTGATCAGAATATCGCTAAGAAATACTTTCTAAGATATTCAAGAAAGACTTCATTAATTAGGTTTTGAAAAGTAGTTGGAGCATTGATTAAGTGAAAAATCATAACCAAAAATTCATAATAGTGAAAGTAAATTCTAAATCTAATCTTGGAGATGTCCTCAGGCTTCATTCTAATTTGATGGTAGCTAGTCTTTAAGTCAATTTTAGAGAAGAAAGCCCCCCCTCCCCCTAGTTCTTTTAGTAATTCATTTATAAGAGATACGAGGTGTTTGTTTTTTTATTATGAGTTTGTATAGTACCCTTTAATCTACAAGAAGTCTCCATGAGCTGTCTTTGAAAGCAAAAGGGTTGTGAGTTGGTTGTATAACCATCTTCTCTACAACTTCTTTTCGGAGTCTAGAGTGTATGTATGGCCTTAGACTAATAGAATGAGCTCCCTTATTTAGAGGAATTGAATGGCCCTGTAACCTGCTTTGTAAAGCCTCATACTTTAATATGGGCTTATAATTACTTTTTTACGGTTTGGTATGTAAAAATACGACTGATTTTTTTAATATAATTATTATATCAAAATTTTGATAGAGTCTCTCTTATATCGAGAGATCTCAAAGTATTGATATATACAATCTTTTTATATTTTTAATATCTCACATCTCATAACTCAATCACGACCCAATCGTTCTAGGTCTCAACCCCACAAACATAATTATCATCATAATCACAATATTTATAACATTCATTGAATAACAAATATCATTATAAAAAAATAAATGAGATAAACACATACACATGGAACATGATTAAATGAATTTTAGAGTTAAGTTCATCTATTCAAGTTTAAACATCAATTATATAAATTAATTTATATAAATATTTTAATATTTTAAAATACAAGGATATATTTTCTAGAACCAGATAATAAAAAGTGAACAAAAGTAAGGATCTACTCATGTCGTACATGAAATGGTCTTGAAACAAAATACATGTTATTGAAACATAAATATCACAATAAGTATAATAACACAAATATCCAACAATTTAAAAAGACAAACATGTATTTATATTCTATTCACTTCTCCTTTTTTATTTCCATTGAAACTCTTTCTCATTCAACTACTAAAATTATTTTATCTTTCATTTTCAACTTTCATTCAAGATTTCATAAGATCAACTACAACTATTTCCACTTAACACAATGTCGATACCAATTTTACTAGTATCATTACCACCTTGTAAGCGTCGATGGATGGCGATCCCCTTACTCGGGATCCTAGCATATACCAAATATATGGTAGCCGATGCATGGTGATCCCCTTACCTGGGATCGTAACATACACTATTTATATGATAGTCCATATTGTATAGGCATTGATACACGGTGATTCCCTTACTCGAAATCCTAACATACACTAAATGTATACTAGCTGATACATGGTGATCCCCTTACTTGGGATCCTAACATACACTAAATGTATATTAGTCCATGCCTCATAGACATCGATGCATGGTGACCCCTTTACTCGGGATCCTAATATACATTAAATATATGTTAGTCCATGTCTCATATCACACTTCTCATATTTTTTATGTTAGTGATAACTCCATTACTCGATAATTCACACGAAAGACCATTCACCTTGAACATATATACATTCAAGATATTATCCAAAATAACATCATTACGAAAACTTTTATTCTTTCATATAATATCCAACATTTGCTAATCCATATTCCATATCAATAACATATTAAATCATGGCATTTAACTAGAAAGCATAGATACAGATCACTTATATGTAGTAGAAGCTCTACTCGCACATTTCACCCATTAATATAATATCATCATTCTTTCCCCAATCGTAGTTATCATTAAAAATTTTCATTTCAAACATAACTCATTTCTTTTGAAAGCTAATATGTAATATCATATGTTCCTCAAAGGAAACGAACCCAACCTTTATTGTGTTTAAATAGTTGCTTTAGCAACTTTCTGAATCTGCCAATTGAAGTCGCATTCCGACCTCTTCTAGAGTTATAGGACTCCATTTCCAGCAAGGTTGGTTTTGTAAGCTAAGATATAGAGCTACAAGTCCCCTGAAAGGAGAAGAACTCAATTTTTCCCCCAAAACACTTGAAATTATTGGTCAATAAATCAAATCTACTGCCCTATAGGGTCTCTCATGATGCAGTCTCAGTTGATGACCCATATCTAGAGTTTTATAGCTCCAAATTGAGTAAGAATAATTTTCTTAGTTGGTTAGCATCCAAAACTACAATTTCTATTAAAGAACCTGATCTTAAGTCCCTCATCTTCTT